CAGATTAGACTTGTCACACAAGACCACAACCAATCAAATTAAGGCTTGCTGCGCAAGACCATTAGTGTCAGATCTGCCAAAATCGTTGATATTGGCCAACAAATCGTTTGATTTGCACGCGCATAAATCCCGCAAAGTATCAACATGTGATCGCTGATCACATGTCTTATTTTGGGATTTACCTATTTAGGGTAACACTATAACCAGGCGTTTCAATAGCACTCATATACAGTATAACTGTAAATAAGTAAATTTTTAACCTAGATCTTTTACATTAGAATTAGTATTTAGGGTTCGAGATAAAATTTGAAAAAACTTTGGGGTTGTAAAGCACCACGTGCCAACTAATTAACCAGTTTTTGGATAATACAGTATATGCGTAATAATAACTGATTAATATATTTATATTAAATAAGGCAAAATATACTGTAAATACTAGCAAATCATATTTTGGTCCTATTATTGCAAAAATTTTAAAATAGTAAATATGAATATAACCTTACTCTTTATATTTCTTGCTTCGAGCACTACATATAGCTAGAAACTTTCATTATTAGAATTAAAAAATTACTGATTTCTGTTTTATGCATAGAGCTATGGCTTATCGATGTTTCAACAGTATGAAGAAGGCATTTGCAAACAGAGAACTAATAATATCGTGTAACACTTATGCAATTATTTTAAGTTGCAAAATTTTTTTTAGACAATCGATTTTTTTAATTGAACGCGTCTTTAATTCACCTTTTATGTAGTCATCACATGCATTTACCTGATTTGAACACGGAGTATATAGCGGGAGTGACGTAAATGCACAGCCACTTACTATAATGTGGCTGAGAAAACCAATACAATTATGTATATATATTTAGATATAATCATGCCACTGTTCCTTACGATGGTATCAAAGTTATACTTTAATATATATATTTAATATTCAGTAACCATATTCAAAATATTGCTGTAAAGCTTTTCGTTTTTTTGCATAAATAACTAAAATGAACAGTAAAAATGTAGCACCAAAGGCTAATGATCCATGGGATGATTTCTTTGCACCAATGTGGGAATCTACAACGTCAAAGCAACGTACTCGTCCATCTAACGGTAAAGATGTACGGGCAGAAAATGTTAAATCACAAGGGGATGCTAACTTGAAGAAAAAGATTGGAGGAAATGAGACAGACAAAAAAACTAAGCTACAACGTAAGTTCGAGAAGACATCAGCTAATGTCACCAAGGACACATCGCATAAAAATAATAACGATGGGTTCATTAAGAAGTCCAAGAAAATTTCCGAGCCCACCAAAATAGTAAACAAAAGTATCAATAAAGGTAAAGATAATGGAACTATTAATCGATCAAATGACATTTTACACAATGACGTTTCAAAAGCCGATTCACGAAGAAAGACTACACCGGATCTTTCGCTCAAGTATCCAAAGGCTGTACCCTGCTCTCTTGAAGAAATTTTTGGTGAACCTATTTTTCCTAATTCTAAAAAACCGGATTCAGATATTAGAATGCCTAGTGGCAGTAAAAGAGAAGAGTGTGCTAAAAAACCAGATCTTGCTATTAAAATGGCTAGTGGTAGTAAAAGAGAGGAATGTGCTAAAAAGCCGGATCATGCTATTAGAATGCCTAGTGGCAGTAAAAGAGAAGAGTGCGCTAAAAAACCAGACCCTGCTATTAGAATGCCTAGTGGCAGTAAAAGAGAAGAGTGTGCTAAAAAACCGGATCCTGCTATTAGAATGCCTAGTGGCAGTAAAAGAGAGGAGTGTGCCTCCGTTTCAACTCGTCACAAGCCTAAAGATTTAACGCATTTGAAAACACTTGAAGACTATCAACGTGAAGCAGAAGCAATGGGCCATAAATTACCCTCAGATCGAGATCCCCCAAATACAACATATTATCCTCGTATAAAGCGTCTTCTAGATCCTGCTTCACTTAAATTACCCATTACGAACCCTGATCATCCTAAGAACGTGATTAAATACCTTGCTACAGTGCCACCACGAACAAATCCTGTTCAATTAAATAAGTTAAAACGAGTCCAGAGTTCCAATTTTGGTACCAACAAATCCACCTCGCAGATTGGCACTAAAAGTCAAATAAATCGTCCGGTAACTGAGAAGAAAATCATTGGTTCATCCAAAGTGAACTCGGACACTCGCCGAACCTTTTCCAAATCAATCTCTGAATTGCATAAGACACCCATTGCTAGGAGTGAAAAGCGTACACCGAGAGAATTGTCCATTATCCGCGAGTCACCACAGGTTAGGGATAAAATACATGTAACACACAAGGAATCAACAAACAGAAAACGTATAGCACATGAAGAATCTCATGTTCGAGATCCTTCTAATATTAAAAGAAGATTGACTAATAATCCTACACAACAAATGAGCAATAAACGATCCATGCATTTTTCACCTGAGCCGTCCCGTCCCGTTAAACGTCAGCAAATTAGACATAACCGTGAAGACAGTATTGATGAAATGAATGTGTCGTCTATTATTCAATCAATTTTCAGACGTAATCGTCCTATTCATCGATACGACGACTATGATGATGATGATGATCTAATGGAAGCCTCTGCGGTGGAGGTGTTTAGTGAAGAGGCGCGCTCTTCTAAGATTGGAAGAAAGGAAGATGAAGAGCAGGAACGGCTTGACCAACAAAGGCGTCTACTTAAGACAAGAAGGCTTAAGTAGCATGTATGTGTAGGGTTGGTAAAGTCCTTAGGTCCGGGACTTTAGGGTCCAAATTTAAGGACCTAGGGTCCTTAGGTCTATTTATAATTGCATAATTCTGGACAGCCTAATCAATGTATAATTTCAATAAAGTTTTAAATGCATAGTTTAAGATCATAATCATTTATTTAATGTATATAGTTCAGGTAGAAAAGTGATGGCAAAAAAAAGTCGCGACCATGTGATCGTCGACATTTTCGAACCCCTTCGGAAGCCATATACAAAATTTATGCAACTTTGAATGAATAGATAATATATATTAAATTTATATTAATTATAACAGTTATATAATCAATATCGTAATTAATTGATATATAGCGAAATTAAATCGTTCGATTACAAGTTAATAAATCAATAGAGTAAAAGTATGAACATGTAAAGGCGAAAATTTATTTAGATTAATAAAAGTGAAATTAATTACATAATGTATCGCGAACACAAAAATTAAAGCAATTATCTTACCTTACGACCTCATGATGTCATATAGGTCGGAAACGGTCGGCGATCACATGGTCGCAACTTTTTTTTTCTACCTATCGCTATATAGTTCACATAATATTGGGGTAACGTGAACTAGCCGCAGCAAAAAAATGTGATCGAGTTGATTAAAATTTTTCTAGTGTCTAGGTGATGCATTATGCACATAATTTGCAATTTTTACTATATGAAATCGCATAATTGGCTTATTTTTATGCACATGTAAGCAAATTTGATTGGCTAAAAAAGTTAATCGGTTTGTATATTTAACAGTAGTTATCTGACTTGACATGCTTTTTTGAATTTAATTGGCTAATAATTTAAAATTTCGCATAATTTGCATAATTTACTATTTGTTGTATATATTTGTTACTCAACTATACAATACATCAAACAATGCATCAAACAATACATCAAGCAAAACACTATGAAACACACATATAGGATATTCCACCTTGCTGTTCATGTGATTACCAGTTATATCTAGAATCAATCACTATTACTATTATTTGATATCCAATCTGTTTAGTCAGGTTATCACCCACTTAGTTGATATCCAGGTTGTCCACCCAGACTATCAACCCAAAACCAAGCCAAAACTAACTTTCAAATTTGCACCAAAGTTAGACTTTCATCAAGCTAGCAGCAAAGACAAAAGAGGAAAAACCACTACTTGAACCAACACTTTTTAAATAGCCATTTAACATGACCTATTACTCATTCAATTATATTTATTAAACATCATACCAACCATTATAACTTATCAAATCCATACTCTATCATTATCTCATTTACTATCACTTACCCCATCAGACTAATATCATGGGTCTGGAAACTGGGTTATGATCTCGTGACAAATAGATATCTCATGACTTCATTCATGGCATTACATAATTTGACAATTCTTGCATTATAATTTTGAACAATTAGTTGCAACTAATAGTTACATGTATTTAATAAATTTGATTGGCATAATAAATAATTACATGTTTTTTATATTATTTCAAACTATTCTATTGGTTAAAAAAATTCTATACTTTAAATATAATTAGTTGGTTAAAAAATTTTCAATAGATTAGTTAACTAGTACTAATAATTTAAATCAAGAAAAATTTTTTAATCAGTTAACCAACCCAAATTATTTTATTGTCTGAAGTGTAGCTGAGAACACTACATTCTAGGCATTTGAAATCTGTCAGATCCTATGATAATATTTGTCATACTGCGTAATTAACCAATAGAAATTCATAATGCATCTAAATTTATTTGATTTGATTTGATTTCAAAATCAAATATATACTATAAATTACTTTTGTATATTTACAGCATGACAGAAATTCGATTTATGCATAAATGTTACAAAAGATTTTAAATATAAAAATTATAAGAAAATCAGATGTATCATATGACTGCACATCAAAGAATCGCCCACCCTTTATGAAACTTAGCAAGACCATTTGTAAGGTGTGTTGCAAGTGAATTTTAGTGACCTATCATTGAGATCATCAGATCCGCAGGACTTTTATTAGAGTAGTTTTATAGTGGGTATAATAATATGTAAATGAATTTAAATTAACTTTTTTTTTTGACATTTCAGTAAACGATTAAGAAAAAAAGACTAGTAGTTTTAACGCAATATAGTTTTGAATTTCAGTCACAGACTTTATTTATTGATCTTTCTATTGGTATATTTACCAATGCTCAATTTGATAAATTTCTGCTGCTAGTTTAGACGAAATGTCTAATGTTTCCTCTATTTCCTCTGAAATTTCTTCCGTGCCCTCCTCTATATCATTTTCTTCGTCATCAAGATCTTCCTTGGTAAGTTTATTCTCCCCTTTTTCAATTCGTTTAAGAAATGAATTGACATTTTCGAAAATTCCTTTTTTATAGTATTCTTCGCAATAAGTACACCTCCTATTATAACAATCTACATGATAGCCGTGACCACAAATAAAGACCATGCCGTTATCATCGCTAAATGGAAGGCCACACTTGTCACATAGTTTGGGGTGGGGTGGATGAGATGTGCTGTATGCAGTTGGTAGGTGTCGCAAATCTACTTCTTCTTTTAGAGTAGCTAGTTGGTATGTCTCCGGCGGCTTTTTTCTTGAGTTGTTTTTGGTGGAGGTTTTTTTGGTAGGGGTTTTTTTGGCGGGGCTTTTTTTGGTAGTTTTTTCTTGTAAATTTTTTTTTTTTGTTATTTTTTCATTGGATTTTGGAACACTTCTTCCATAGTTATAATACACTTCTTGAAAATATTGTAAAAGGAAAAGTGCCGTTTTTTCATATAAAAACTCAAGTGTTTTAATATTGTATGGATATCGTCGTGCTTTACTATATGTGTCTTTAAATGCAGGGTCATGATCTATGATGACATAAGCTTGCTTTATGATGTTGTCCGTTGTTGCATTTTTTGATGTGTTTGCCCTAATTCAACTGTGGGTATTTTCTACAAAATATTCGTTAAAGCTAGTTAAATGATTTTTTATTACATTTAAAAAAGGATGATTATTATCATTCCAATAGAATAAGTCAGACAAAAATATAAGGGGGGCCTTATTATAGTTTTTTCGCTTCCAACGCAGAGCAAAGGTCCAAATATGAAAGACGGACTCTACATATTCATTGAACAAACCTGATCGAAATAAAGTAGCATAGATTTCAAGTGCCGATGGAATTAAATTATCAAGTAAGTCAATCATCATTCGATACTCGATATCTTTGCACACTCCAAACTTTTTAATAATATTGCCTTTTATTTTTGTCCAACCATTTCGTGCAAGCTCTAACAAAAGGTTTATTCTCCAGGGTCGAGGTTTCTTTGCCAATTTTTTATTCTTACCAAATACGAACTTAAACATTTTTTCAAAAAAAGAATGATAAATCAACATGATATGTTCTCTACTATTTAGTGATAGATGAAGCGGGCCTAATATAGGTAAAAATGATTTCATTTGTTGTGGAATAATGAATTTTGTATTTTGTGAATGTAGTATTTTTCTAATAAAGAGCTGGCCGGGCCAGTCAGCCACAACAGGTGCAACTTGTCCATCTAAGTGTTGCGTTTTACTATTGATCGATAGTATAATGTTTAATGCACTAAGATAATCCTCTACGCTATGCAAGTGTTGTTCCTTAATTCCTACGAGCTGAAGCCCTTTCATTGACCTCTCTTCTTTACGTTCCACTATGTTATCGGCATAACTATGTATAGTTAGCATTTCAATCGGATCAAATCTATTAATTATTAAACCTTGCGAAATTTTAAGCAATTGATTATCCGTATATGAAGTATCAAAAACCCCAGTATATACTTTTAGTAAATACCAGCAGATTCTCGAAGCTTCAATGTTTTCTGGATTATGGACTGATATTCCATTGAATGTAAGTTGCACAGAGAGATATTCTATAATCGGTTTTGCTACACAAGTAGCAAAATGATTCGCGGTCGAAGTTGATACAGTATCGGGCCTACGATTTTCGTGAATTGCATGATAATCGTCGATATTGTAAATGTGAAACAAATTTTTCTATAGAATAATGTATAATTGATATACAATTAGATTTATTAATAAATATTTAATAATTTACATTAATTTACATTTACATTTTCTACAAAATGGTTTTCAATTTTAGTTGCATGTTCTTTTTGAATCCGTTTTCAGTATTCTTCTACCGTTCTAGCACACACCGAATATCCAAGAGTTGACATCGTATTAACTGCCTCCCATGTTGCACCCGAAGCCATTAAATATAATCCAACTTCTAACTTGTGTTGATTTACAAATTTGTTACGCAAACCCGCTAACATATAGTATAAGCCAACAATTGACTTTTTGGATTCATTTATACTATAGGTTGAACGTTCGTTTGGAATAATTGCATTTATAAGATAACTAAAAAAACCCTTAAGTTGTGGGTTAATAGCTTCAATCATACATTCAAATTTTACTGGATCTAGTTCCAAACTAGTACCCTCTCAACGTTGTTTGTGATATAATGCCTTTGTTAACATTTCTATATACGAAGCAAATGTAGGCTCCTCTATTCGAATTAAATAAAATTAAACCTTATTAAAAAAAAAAAAAAAAAAAGTAAAATATAACTTATTACCTGTATTATTATTTGATACAGGTTCAATTGGCTCTAGAATTTTTTTTTTATTATGTATTTTTTTTTTGCGTCTTCACTCATTTCTATCAACCTCTACAACTTTACAGTAGTGTGGATGGCAAAGTTGCATTCCAACTTCAAGGTAAGGGTATACCTCCAGCATTTGTTTCTTCTGACATTTTTCATATGCGAGCTTCGTAAATTTACGAAACTTAACATTAGTATAGGCACAGTTAATAATTGAGCAGGGACCGAGGTTTATTGTTGTCATTTCACACAATTACGTGACATCCGAATTTTTTTTTTTCGTGACAAAATTTTTTTTTTATAGAAAGTGGGTGGGGCACCACCGGTACCCTCGTTTAGCC